GGGTGGGGAGGCTCTGGCCCTCAACCCAGGCATGTGCCCCGACTGGAATTGAACTGGTGACCCCCTGCTTTACAGAATGATGCCCAGCCCACTGAGCCACACCAGCCAGGGCTCCAGATACACTTTAGAATCAGTTTGTGGATATCCACAGAATAACTCGCTGGGCTTTCATTGGGGTGCATTGAATCTCTAGATCAAGGTAGGAAGAACTGACATCTTGATGATATTGAGACCAACTGTGTGTTCTGACCTAAACTTAGCCACAGGAGGCAGGAAAATGGACTGGAGCACTGGAAAGCATAGGCTGGGCCCCGCATGGTGCTGGCCAGGAGGCTGCACCTCACGCAGTGCCAGGCATATAGGTGGTACTCAATGACTGGTCACTGGGGCAGTGAGCGATGCCACATTCCAAAGCACCTGGGGGCAGGGCTGTATGTGCCCTTTCTGTGCCGAGGCAGGTAGAGCAGACTCCCATCCTTCAGAGGGAGGGGATTGGCTTCGGGATTATCGTTGTGGATTAACTGTGGGAAAGGGAACCGGGTGGGTGGGCTGGTTTGAGCAAGGCTCTCTGGCTGACTTGGGTGGCTGTACTGATAGGTTAAATCACTGAATTAGTCGTTGATTCTTTGAATAAATATTTATTGAATATCAGACACTCTCCCCCTAAACTGTCTAGAGACCCCCTGCAGTTTAAGCAGGACCCCCCCCCCATAGGTTTTCTGATGCCCTGATAACTATGGGCTGGGCCTTGGGATGGCGGCTGGGGTGGGTGGTGTGGCAGGGGTGGGGGGGGGGGGGGTGCTGTATTCTGGCTAGGGATGGTTGTAGCTGTTCCCTCTTTTAAGTTTAGCTTCTCGATGTGGAGCAAAGTGTCATGCTATTGACCAGGGTGATCTCAAGTTTAGGGGAGGTCCAGCTTAGCCTAGATGAACCCCACTCTTGCCTGAGTAGTGGGGGGTCATCTCTGTGGTCAGTTCTGGGCTCAGCATCGGTGGAGGTCAGGGAAGGAAGGAAGCAGACTGTCAGTGAAATTATTATTTTATCAACAGGGAGACTCTTCAAGACTTCAACTGACCTGGGAACTGTGGGGACTGAGAAAGAAGGGGAAGAGAGAGGTGAACCAGCTGGAGGAAACAGGGCCAGAACAAAAGGAGAAGGGAGACAGCCAGGAAACCAAGAGATAAACAGGGTGGAGAAAAGCAGAGAACGCAGGGAGAAGGGCAGAAAGACAGAAGGAGAGAGAGAGAGAGAGAGAGAGAGAGAGAGAGAGAGAGAGAGAGAATGGAGCGAGCCAGAAGGGAGAGAAGTGAGAGAGAGAGAAGGAAGAGTAGAGGTCAGAGCTGCTCTACTGCTGGTGCTAGCTGGGTCCTTGAGGGTGTGAGCACTCTCTCTCTCACACACACATGCACACACACACACACGCATGTATGTCACACTCACACCCATCCCCTTCCTTGCGGGTGCTAGCTGGGTCCGCAAGGGTGTGAGCACTCTCTCTCTCTCTCTCTCACACACACACACACACACACACACACACACACACACACGCATGTATGCTACACTCACACCCATCCCCTTCCTTGGGCACCGTTTTCAGAATCCACACTACTGGGGAGGCGGGGTTGCCACGGTGACAGGTGATGGAGCACCGCCTTATGGGTATTAATAGCTTCCATTGAAGCCAGCGACACGGTGACTTCATCCAGCCCCAGTCTCCCTGGCAGGTTCCTTTTGCCTCCTCCTTTCCAGGATGGGGCTGGGAAGGGCCCTCAGGGCCACGCAGGCCACTTCCCTGCCTGCTGGCCACCACCTTGGTGAAGGATGGCTTGAAGGTCTATGGGACTCTTCCCAGTGTGTGCGTGTGGATCTTCGGGGGCGGGGGATAGGAGGGATGAGGGGAGAAGGGTGGTGGAGTGGTTGGCTCCTCTGAGCTGGGTCTAACTATTGCCCTTGCCAGGAAGGGTTCCTGAGGCACAGGACCCCTCAGAGAGGCCACTCCCAGCCTCTGCGGGCCCCATACGGTCATACTGCCTTCGCCAAGTCCTGGCCTGGCCAAGGACTTGCACCCCTTGACACTTGACAGTGGTGTCCCTTCCCATTGTACGCAGTTCCCTGTAAGGGCTGGGGCCAGGCTGCACAGTGTCAGGCGCTCAGTCTCCGGCTGCAGCAAGTGTGCTGCTGGCATTGCCGGCCCTGGGGCCCATGCTGCCTCACATTCCCACCAAGGTAGCTTCCCTCGCCTCATCCTAATCCTGGCCCTGTTGATACTCCCAATGTCTCCTTGACCCTCTTGGGTCAGGGTAAGTTTCTGTCCTGTCCTGAGTTCCTTGCTTTAATCCTTCCCGTAGAGCCCCTGGGGCCAGGCCACCCTGAGCCACAGAGCCCGTCCCTGCCTCCGGACCTCAGGCAGCACCCGTCTCCGGCCCTCACTCCTCTCTGACTTTCTCCATCTCTCCCTGGCTTTGCCCATAGCCCCAGGTTTAGACCACATGGGGCCTGTGACATCTCTGCTGTCCTCTGCCCCTCCGTCATCCCTTGGCCTGTGTTCCAGCGCCTCCTCCCTGAAGGGAGGGTGGGACTCCAGGAAGGGCCTGAGCCTCCCCTCAGCCACTGTCTGCGAATGCTACCAAGGGCCTCACATGTCACAAACACACTCCGAGGGAATTAGTCTGGTCTATACAGAGCCTTTGGATTTATTGTGATGCCCGGCAGCAGCTCCCCGTGACCTCATTCTAGCAGACTTCAGGGGGCATATGTGTGTGTGAGAGTGTGTTCATGCTTATGTAGAAGTGAGTGTGCAGGAAAGTGTAGAGGTGTGTGTGCAAATGTGGGAGGGTGCTGTCATTCAGAGCCCAGGGATTTCTGGTGCATGAGTCATCGGTTGGGAGTGGCCCTTGGGAAGATAGCCTCCGGCCTTCGTGGGCAATCCTGCAGCTGCCAGGCACATGCTCCTGGGCATCTGAGAGGCTGGAGGCAGGGAGGGGGCTGTCTTTCCCTCTGCACCCCAGAGAACAGCTGTCTGGGTATTTCTAGCTCTCCTGGAGTCCCAGACATTTAAGGATGTGCTGTCTGCAGTGGGGTGGGCATAGAGGGCAGGGAAAGGAGCCACTCAAGGGTTTTGCTCCCAGGGGTCATGCAGGGGAGTTCATCCGTCCCATCAGGGTTTGTCAATAGTCTGTGTGACACTCTGCTAGGGGCCAGGCCATCATGGGAAATGGCATTGACCTGCTCTGTCCCCTCACAGGGCTTATGTTCTAGTGAGAGAGGCAGGACACAAACAAGGGGGAAAGACTACGTTCAAACTACTTCTAGAAAATAAAACAGAATAATGATATGGAAAGTGACAGAGTGGCATTCTTTACCTGGGGAAGGTCATGAGGTGGTGCGTGGACTGTGCCTAAAAAATGAACTGTGACATGGGAGACTTGAGGGAAGAACCTTCCATAAGAGGGTGGCCGAGAGCCCACGTCTCTGCTGATTCTAGATCAGAGTTGCTGAAGCCAGTCAGAGGGCTAGAGGTGACCTAGAGGAACACAAAAGCAGACTCCCTTCCTGGGGTGGGGAGGGGAAGCTTGGCCCCTCTCCCTCGGAGAGACTGGGGGATCGATGCCCCACAGGCAGGTGGGGGAGAACGACTCCCTTTTCCCTCCCGTAGGCTCTCTGGTAGCAGGGTTGAGCTACAGGACGGAAGAGTCCTGTGAGCAGGTATCCTCCAGGAAGCCTCCTTTGCTCCGGGCCACAGAGGTCCCCCTCTGTGCCAGTTCTTATGGCTGGCAGAACCACTCAGTTCAGATTGGTGGTTCTCCGAAGATCTGTCCCTGAGATCTGTTTCCCCAGCTTGGCCAGTGACCTAGTCTCCTAGATTTGGTCTGTGGGCACCCAAAGGCTCCTGACACTGTGTGTGTCCAGCAGCTGAACAGCCTGGGGTTCTTGTTCTGAGCCTTTGCCCGTTCAGATCTGAGAGTGGAGCATCAAGTCCCCGAGTTCCTAATCTTACTACATTTATTCAATCATCCAGTCCTTAAATTTTTTTCTCGGGCTTTTGCTATGTGCCAGGCCCTGTATATGGTGCTAGAGAAACTGTAAATTAGAGCTACCTTGCCCTGCGCCTGTCACCCACGGAGCTCAGTGTTCTCGCTGTACCGGTTTTCCTTTTCAAGACCGCGTTCCACTGTCCGTGAGAGGAATATGCCCAACAGCTCCACCACTGCCTGACATCTTACCCTGACCTAGGCCCGGCACCCACCCCTCCCACCTCGAGGCGCGGCGCAGCACAGCGCAGACCTTCTGGCAGCAGGGACGCAGAGCGCCAAGGAGCCACATCTGGCCGGGCGGGCGCACGCGTGTCACTAAGACGCTCATTCACCAGCGCAGCTGTCACCATAACAACCGGAGAGAGGGAATCCTGGCGACGGTTGGGGGACAGGGGCGGGGGCGACGGGGGCCAGAGCGCAGTGGCCAGAGACCATCACGGGAGCACCCAGCACGCTCTGCGCTCCACGGAGCCTCGCTCCATGCAGACCCGCTGGCGGGAGGGCACACCGCGCGTTGCCGCAGCAGCCGCCCCGCAGGCGGGGACCAAGCCTGCAGCTGAGCCACCAGGCCGCCGGGCAGGCCGAGCTTTTGAGCACCTACGCGGGAAGCCCTGACTCTATGGCCCCGGGGGAGCGCACCGGAGCCACTGCACCGCCCACCACCAGCTGGGACCTAAACGCCAGCCAGAGAAAGGGGGGAGCTCCGGGAGCCCCTGGCCCCGACTCAGGGGCCCCCACGTGGCCCCCGCCCCCGCCGCGGGCAATGGCAGGCAGGTAGCCGGCTTGAGCGAGGACTCCTTAAGCGGGCAGGACCCGCGGAGGGCCGCTAAACCCAGAGAGAGGGAGGAGAAGAGCAACCCGCCCGCCCCCGGCCGCAGCCTCACCAGGGCCCTCCCCCGGCGGCGCGTGCCCGCACGCGCGCGCGCACACACTTGCTCTGTACCTCCGCTCCTGCCCAGCCTAACCTGGCCCCCGCGAGTGCCGAACCCCCAGGGGCCGGATGCCATGGGTAACAACTTCTCTAGTATCCCCTCTCTGCCCCGAGGAAATCCGAGCCGGCCGCCGCGGGGCCACCCCCAAAACCTCAAAGGTAAGGCTTCGCCGGGCTGGGAGCAGCTGGAGGACTGGGGCGCAGGTGGAGGGGCAGGGAGAGATGAAGAGGTGTGGTTGGGGATGACGGGCAGGTGCCACCTGTTGTGCATATTTGAAGACAGGAGATGAACATCTCTCTGGCCATGGAGGTGGGCTGGGGCTGGGGACGGCCTGTGGTGATGGTGGAAACCCAGGAGGATGGCGTTCCATGGGGTCTGCGCAGTTCTCCCTGCCTGTACTAGAAACGTCACTGGAGTCCCCTCCGGCCGTGATGCTTGGCGAGCTTGCAGGCGCGAGGAAGGGCATTTGCTGGGTGGATAGGGCAGTGTGGCGGGATGCTCAGGGGGCCAGCCGTGCTTCTCAAGGGAGGCATCGTAGTCTCTGTTTTCATCCGCCCAGGGTTGGAGAGGTCACGCTGGAAGCACTAGTTGCACATCCAATTGGAGGGTCTTAAAGATCCAGGACCGATCTGTAGCAGCCTGAAAGAAGGGGCCAGAGCTGATGGCTTCTGGGGTCCTCTGCAGCTGTTCGCCCTTTGCATCGGCTGAATCAGCTTGGTCTGTGGTTCCCCCAAAGGCCAGATGTTCCACTGGAACCATGAAGGAGGGTCTGGGAACCCAGAAACGGAGGAATGTTCCCTAGGAAGGTCTTTGCCCCCTGGGTCCCTGACCCACCCAGCACCCCCAGGGAGGCCCCTAGGCCCAGTTCTCTGCCCTGCAGACTCCAGTGCTGTCTTTGACCTTTGGGTCTTTGGAGGCCCTCAGACCTCACAGATCTGTTCTGGAAGCTGCTTTCCATTCACCCTCAGAACTAGCCAGCACTTGCTCTGGACATTCTGATGACTAAGACTCAGGAAGCAAAGCCCTCAGGCTCTCAAAGAGAACAATCCACTTCTTCAGCCCCCCAGGATATGAGAAGGATAATAGTGACGGCCTTTGACATAAAGCACTGAGGTTTGCACACAACTTTTATGTAAGCAAGGAAGCCGCCTTGGGCAGTCAGCAGTGGAAGTCAGACCCATTTTACAGTTCAGGAGAACCAATTCTTCTTTCAGGTTCTCAAAGCCAGGGAGTGGCAGAGCTAGGCTGCAGATCTCTATCTTCTGACTTGGAATTCTGTCCTCTCCTTTGCTGGACAGTTAACCTTCCAGACTAGGGGGAGGGGAGGGGAGGAGAGACGGGACCACGGGCCTGCATTCTAACTCCACCCCTTTCAGAACTTCAGCTCCTGCTCAGCTCCAGATCAGCGCGTTTGTTGGGTCTTTCTGGAATTTCATAGGGTGATACACGTCGTGGCCTTTTAAAATAACATATTCGTTGGCCTCGTGATTCTACCTAGAGGAACCTATCCCAAGGAAATGGATGGCAGGCAGATGCTCAGGCACTGGGCTAGGATATTCACAGCAGTGTTATTTATAGTAGGAAAACAACCCAACAGCCAGCATGAGCATTGGGAACAGGTTTCTAATGGTGGAGGAAGCTGTGGACATCATCCAGTTCAGGGACAAGTGGGAAGGAGGAGGGAAGAGGATAGTGATTGGCCCAGTTACTCAGTGGTCAGTCAAGAGAAGGTGGCAAAGCCGGGCTGAGGTTAGCTGGGGTTAGCTGGGGGCCAACGAGTTGACTTGGTGCTTTAATGCTCACAAAATGCCCCCAAAGGCCCTGCTCCATCCTTGACCCCAGGGAAGCCCAGAGAAAGCCTGGATAATTGCACCTCTTTATACCTGAAGTTTGGGATTGTGGGGATGTGAGATCTTCGTGGCTGGGGTCTTTGGTGAGGGAGGAAGTGGGCAGGTGAGGGTCTGAGGCTCTCTCACTTCCTGGGCCCCTCCCTAGCTCACTTCTCTGCCTATTGCCCAGTTACCTGGCTTGAGAAGCATCTTTCCTGCTGCCTCCCTGGATTACAGGGATAGGTTCTTCTTCCATGGGAGTAAATGGTGGAGAGATTCCCTCCCAGCAGTCTCCCTCTCCTCCTCATCTCCGTTCAGGCCGGATTTACCAGAATCCACTCCCTCCTCCCCCAACCCACACACCCACTGGAGGTGGGCATGAGAATTCTGATTCTGCCTCTTCTAAGCCAGAGATGAAAAATCAGAGCGTGCCCCTCCGTCGTTCGTCTGGTGTCTCCTGATCCGCCATCTCAGCCTGACTTCTTCCCGCCCTGCTGGAGCCATCAGCTCCATTCCGTGATTGTTTTAGTGTTCAAATTCCCTTCTGACTGGATTGGCAGTGATTGAGGTGTCATCTCAGTCACGGCAGTGGCCACCCACATTTCCATTCCCTTCTTCCTGGTTGTGATTCTAAGACTACCCACCACGCAGAGTTCTGCCGGGATTCTTTTTATATGCACCCAGAATTCAGCTCTAATTCTTAGTGGTGTCCATCCAGAAATTTGCCGGGGGCAGGGAACTCTTGATTTTTCCTCTCCTGTAATTGCAGTCTCTTTGATTTCTCACCATTTTCATGAGAACAGTGGGAAGGAGCTTGCTGTACCAGGGATTCTGGGTCTCACTGGAGATCTAAGATTAGTCTGGTTGTCAGGCTGACGTGAAACAAGGTCTGTCCATTTCCCTGTGGTCGGTAGGCTACATTCTTTTTCCTGGAGACGCACTGACCTCACCCCACCGCTGGCGGTTCCCACTGGGCACTGAGCACTGTGGGTCTAGGCATGTCCCGGGGAGAGGTCCAAGGTATAGCTCTGGGCTTGGGACCAACAGACAGTCACGAGTGGCCGCTCTCTGCCCGGTGCAGAGGTGACATCTGCCCGGTGCTGCTGACATCTCTGTACGTTCACGGGCTGAAGATGTACTTGAAAAGGCAAAGCAGAGCAAATGCTGGGTTGGACGGTTGCAAGCCCAGATGTGTGTGGCAGACGTCAGAAATGGGGGATCAGGGCAGGATCTGAGCTGGACATGGAGGGACCTGCAGAAATTGGGTAGATGGCAAAGGGGTGCAGCGGGAGTCCTTGGGTGGAGTGCAAGGAAAGGGACCTCCAGCAAAGGCTTGGAGGCGGCAGTGAGTGGGTGTTGGGTATATTCTTGGTGGCAGGCATAGGGTGACTGGCGGAGGGGGGGGCGGCGCTCAGGCTTCACAGAGACAAACACGGAGGATAAAGGTCTTTCTCCTTCCCCAGCTCCTTCTGAGTGCCTGCCTGCTTGGTTCTAAGTGTTGGGGGAATGGTGACTAGAAAACCTCTGGGGAGGGCTCCTCAGCTCCCGTGGTTGCTCATAGATGGGGACTGGATGGGCCACTTCCTTTTTCTTTTATTGTAGTAAAATTCTTATAACATAATATTCACCATTTTAACTTTGTAAAGTGTACAGTTCAATGGCATTTAGTACATTCGTGATGTTGAGCAACCACCACCACCTCTGTCCAGTTCCGGAACATTTTTGTCACCCCAAAAGGAAGGCCTGTGCTCACTGAGTGGTCACTCCCCCTTGTCCCGTCCCCTGTATCCCTGGCAACCACCTTCTGTCTCTATGGATTTGCCAGTTCTGGACATTTCATATAAATGGAATCCTACTATATTGGTCCTTTCGTGTCTGGCTTCTTCCACTTAAGCATAATGCTTTCAAGGTTCATCTACGTTTTAACATGTATCTTTTCTTTTTGTGGCTGATTAATGGTCCGTTGTGTTGTTATGCCCCACTTCGTTTGCCCATTTGGCAGTTGATAGGTGTTGGAGTTGGGTTTTGCTGCTGTGGAGACGAGTTTTTGTTTGAACACCTGTTCTCAGTTCGTTAGGGGATGTACCTGGGAGCGCACCCTTCCTCTCTTCTGGGGCGTAGCAGCCGCAGGGACATTGTCCTCCTCCAGCTTTGCCTGGGTGTGACTCTGGCAAGACACCTGTTGTTTCTTTCTTCGTTGTTTTTTTTTTTTTTTAATTTTTTAAAATCCTCACCTGAGGATATGTTTTGTTGCTTTCAGAGAGAGAGGAAGGGAGAAAGAAAGAGAGAAAGAGAAATGTCTGTGTGAGAGAGAAACGTTAACTGGTTGCCTCCCATATGTGCCTTGAGCCTTGACCTGCAACCTAGGCATGTGCCCTGTCCGGGGACGACTGCAGCCTTTTGGTATAGGGAACGGTGCTCCACGCCACGGAGTTTCCCGGCCAGGGCGGACACCTGTTGTCTCCAGAGCCTCTCTCCCATGCTGACTGAAGCTCCTGGCTGGCAGAGAGAGGGGCCTATGAAGCTGACTGGCCGAGGAGCCACGATTCTTCCGGGTGGGCCAGTGAGCCACGTGACAGTGTGACCGTGTCTGCAGTCCCTGGACTTCCTCACTGCTCTCTGAGGGTGGGGGCGGGGGCGTCTGCTCTCAGGACAAGGTCCTAGCCGGTTTCCAGCCTTCACCTTCTCATTGCCCCTTCCCTGATCTGTGTCCTCCTCCCAGACAGTGCAAGAGCTGGCCTTCCCGCCTTCAGTTCCTCCTTTGATGTGGCCACAGTGATCTGCCTAGAGTATCCCTTTCACCATGCTCCTCCCCTACACACAGCCTTCAAGGTTATGACCGATATTGCTATAAGCAGATATTCAAGGCCTCCGTGCTTTGCCCAGCCCACAGATATTTCCATAGCTCTTGTCCAGGCTCCCTCCTTGGTTGTCATGACACTGACAGGTTAGATGAGCTCATCCAGCATCCCACCCCCAGCGATGCAGCAGACGGACCTGCGAGAGAAGCTGCAGGCCTCCTCTGCCAGCCCTGACTTCAGAGGGCCTGGGCCGAGACAGCCCCCCATTAGAAGCCTGTGCATGTATTCTGCACACCTTGGTTTTTAGTTCTTTCTGACCTTTGAATCCTGTGTTGTTAATCATAACAGTAATATTTATAGCTGCTGCGTATTGGGTAGTTACTGTGTGTCTTATACTTACATGTGGAGTATTTGCATTACTATCCTCTGGCAGCCTGGTGCGGGAGGTATCCTTGTCAGCATTTTATAAATGGGGAAAGAGAGGCTCAGAGGGGTTAAGTAACTTGTCCTATGGAGCTGGATTTAGAC